AAGTTTTTTTTTTTTGTTTTTTTTGTTTATATTTTAATTAAATTAAATTAATTTTAATTGTTTAATATTATATTTGGATATATATAAAGAAAGATATTTTCATAAAATATACACACAAACAGAGAACTCGCAATGCTGTTGAGGGTTTAGGGTTTAGGGTTTAGGGTTTAGGGTTTACGTGAGGGTTTAGGGTTTAGAGCGTGCTAGAGGGTTAGATAGAGAAAAAAAAGTATAAAAATAAAAAATAAATAAATTTATTTTATTTGTTTTAATATAAATAAAAAAATATTTTATTTTTTTTTGCTTTTTAATACAAAAAACAAAACCCTCGTTCGGTAGTGTGATCTCAGGTGACCTTGCATATTGAGCTGCCTATACACCCCAAATAAATGTGTTATTTTATTTCTTTTTTTAATATTTTTCTTTTTATTTTCATTAATTTATTTATTTTATTTATATAAATTAATTAAAACTACATTTTATTCTCCTTTTTACGCTCTCTATATACAACAAAAACAGCTGCTGCTTCTGCTGCTGCTGCTGCTGCTGCTGCTGCTGTTGCTGCTGCTGTTGCTGCTGCTTCTTTCTTTGTTTGTTTTATTATATTTGTTTGTAGTTTTTATATTTTTGTTAATTAATTAATAAATATTTCAACAAAACCTAAATATTTATCTTTTTAGGCGATACGCCTGAGGTGATCTCAAACCCTAAACCCTAAACCCTAAACCCTAAACCCTAAACCCTCAAAATATCAGCAAGCCCAGAACGCCTACACCTTATTAACACAAAACCCTAAACCCTAAACCCTAAACCCTAAATAAAACAAGCAAACCCTAGGGTTTCATTGCTTGGCTTGCTGTTGAGATCAACAGACAAACTGCATCTAAACCCTTAAACCCTAAACCCTAAACCCTTAAACCCTAAACCCTCAAACCCTAAACCCTCAAACCCTAAACCCTAAGCAGTAAACCCTAAACCCTTAAACCCTAAATTCTCACCGCTGATCCGAATAAAATCGACAAAACTCCAGAAAAAAAGCAATAAACCCTAAACCCTAAACCCTAAACCCTCCAACCCCTAAACCCTAAACCCTAAACCCTAAACCCAAATATTTTTAGCAATTTGGTTTGTATAACAGCCCCTTTCTCCTTTTTTTTTTCGTGTGTATATTGTGTTGTAGTGTATCCTCCCCCCTACAAAAAAAAAAGTAAAAAAACAA